GGGGTGGGAGTCCAGGGAGACGGCCCTGAGGCTGGGGATGATGGGGGCTGGAGTCAGGAGGAGGAAGGCCTCTCTCTCTCTCACCACGTCGATGGCGGCGAAGCCCGTGAGGACGAGGTCCTTGAGGAGCTCGCAGCCGATCCCTCCGGCGCCCACCACCAGCACCCGAGACCCGGCCACCGCCTCCGACAGAGGCCCGCCGGCCAAGGAAGACGCCATCGCCGTCGCCATCGCCATCGCCCTCGAAGGCGGCGGGAAAGAAGGAGGGCCACCGACCTCCTCCTCCTCACAGGGAGACTCTCTTGCCCCGGCTCTGCGCATGCGCCGCGGCCGCCTCCTGCTCCTCCCATAGAGGCGGAGGGCGGGAAGGGCCTAGAGCGGCCTCCTGGGAGAGCTCGCTCGCCCCCTAGCGGATTGGAAATGGCGGCGGCGGTGGAAGAAGAAACTGTGAAGCCACGAGTTCAAATCCCGGCTGGGATAGGATTGAGAGGAGTCATGTTCAGTACGGGAAGGAACTACGTACATATTTTTATTTTTATATATTTTTAAAAAAACTATTTTATGTTATATTATACTTTAGATTGTTTTGTAAGGACAAGAGGGATCTGCATAGGTTGTTAGCCTGCCCTGCAAACCATTTATTCTGTGCTAAGTAGGTGTTTTGTGGTTTTGGTGTCAAGAACACACCCAGACACACACATATACACCTGTACACAATTTTATTGGTGGAGGGTTCTATTCAAGAGGTGCTGATCTGGGTCTTCTTGGACATAAATATATTCCTCGAAGGGCGACGGATGGTTCGGAGGCCAGCAGCTCTTCTCACAGGTGAAAACGAACGCCGTTCCAAACTCCACCGACACGTCTGGCGAAAAAGGGGAGAAAAGGGGCATTTTCAGCATTGCAAAGAGCACCCATCCTTACCCATTAAATCCAATTTAAAGTGCATTTAAACAACAAGAACGCCAGCAGAGCCGTGCCCAGAATTTAAAGGATGCATGCAAAGGGATCTCTGTAGCTCCTCTGAGACTCAGGTCCAATCCACACTGCAAAAATAATCCAGTTTGACACCACGTTAACTGCCAAGGCTCAATGCTAGGGAATCCTGGGAACTGTAGTTTCTTGTGGCACCAGAGCTCTCTCTGACAAAACTACAGCTCCCAGGATTCCCTAGCATTGAGCCAGGGCAGTTAAAGCTGTCTGGATTATTTCTACAGTGCATTTTGGAACCCGTGGCTGCATCCGCACTGCAGAAATAATCTAGTGTGACATCACTTTTACTGCCATGACTCAACGCTATGGAATTCTGGGAACTGTCATTTTGTGAAACATCTACAGAGAGAGAGTTCTGGTGCCTCACCAAGCTACAAATCCCAGGACTCCACAGGATGGAGCCACAACAATTAAAGCAGTGTCAAACTGCATTACTCTACGAAAGCTTCTGTTGGAACGTCTTTTGCTCGGTTTGTTTCAAGGTGCTACAAGATCCCTTTGCATACTTTTATTCTGAAGGCATAAAATCATTTTACGGTATAAATGACAGGAAAGAAAACACAACGAAAACAATTCATAATGCAAACGTTAAAAAATAATAATCAAATAAGCCATCCTACAAAGAACACTCATGTGAAAGAGTTTCAGACATGTTCAAAACCTAATACGGTCGGTCGGCCCTCTGCGTCCGCGGATTCTGCTATCCATGGCTTGAAAATATTCAAAATGAAAAAGGAATGAAAAGGGTGGAATAAATAAAGAAAGGGCTTTCCTACCTTTTTCTTTGGTCTTCAGGAGGCTGACCAAGGCTGGCATGAGCTGAAATTCAAATATTCTCCTGCTTTTGCAGTGACCACAGGGCGGGACGGAGGCCTTGACGTCTGGGGAAGGGCAGCTGAGAAATAAGGGCTCTCCACCCCAGGAATACCTAGGAAAAGACCCCAAAAGGTTGCTTTTGTCAGCACTTACCCACATTAAACAAAGGGGCCTCTTATCACAAAAGGATGAGGCCTATCCCACCTCAGGCACCTCTTCTTCCTCTCACTGGCTGCGGCCGCACTGCAGAAATAATCCAGTTTGACACCACTTTAACTGCCATGGCACAATGCTATGGAAGCCTGGGATTTCTAGTTTGGTGAGACATTTGGCCTTCGCTGTTAGAGAGCTCGGGGGGGGGGGGGGGGGGACGACGACGACAGCAAACTACAAATCCCAGGATTCCACAGGATGGCGCCATGGCAGTTAAAGTGGGATTATCCCTGCAATGTGGATGCAGCCAGAGAAGGCTAAATGTCTCACAAAACAACTGTTTTAAACTTTTAAAAAATTGTTTGATTGTTTTTTTAAAACTTTGTATTTTTAATAGTTTGTACTGTTTTAACTCGGGACTCTTTTAAATCTTGTACAGGGAGGAAGGTGGGATAGAAATAAAATAAACAAAGAAACGACAACAACAACGACAACAACGTTAATGGATTCTCCCCATTTGCTCCTTTCCTTCTTCTGAAACATTTTCTTTAGTCTCATAAGGGTCTTGTCCTACTGCTCTTCTGAAAATATTCTTGCAGAGATGTTTGGGGGATTTGGGGGCAAAAAGCAGCTGGGGAAGGAGACCTTGGGGTGAAAGGGATCCCTCGATTCCGATCTAGACAGTCGGAAAGCTATCGGATGTCATTCCTTCCCCGATGCCCAGTTCTCCAAAAGAGAAAGGTCCCTTCCTCACCTTAAGAGCTGTTCCTGGCAGACCGAAATTCTTTTCATGAACCGATGGAAGACCTGGTCTCCCTTTTCTGTTTTCTCGTATCGCTCCTCACAACCGCTGGGTGTGCAACTAAGAAACAAGGGGGAAAATACACCCACGTTACGGCATGCCCATACTGCTAAATAACAACAATAACAGTAACAACTCAAAAATCAGAATTTCAGCTGCCACTGCAAGTCCCAAATAGAGTTGTTTCTTGCTGCTGTGTGCCTTCCAGTCATTTCCAGCTTATGGCAACCCTCAAGCAAACCTACCATGGGGGTTTTCTTGGCAAGATTTGTTCAGAGAGGGTTTGCCATGGCCTTCCTCTCAGGCTGAGAGTATGTGACTCGCCCAAGGTCACCCAGTGGGTCTTCATGGCTGAGCAGATATTTGAACTCCGGTCTCTAGAGTCACAGTCCAACGCTCAAACCACTAGGACACACTTCTTCTCTTGTTATGTGCCTTCAAGTATACTCTGGCTTATGACAAATTTCTCCTATTCTTGGCAAGGCTTGTTCAGTAGAGGTTTGCCACTGCTTTCCTGTGAGGCTGAGATAGTGTGACTGACCCAAAGTCGCCCAGTGGGTTTCCATGATTGAGCATGGATTTAATCCTAGTCCAACATTGAAATTGGTATGCTACTCTGGCCCCAAAGTAACAATCCTATTGTAGGATTCAAAGATATAGCCATGTTAGTCTGTAGAATCAGTACCTAGAGAGATCTTGTAGCCCTTTTGAGACTAACGGAAAGGAAGAAGTTGGCAGCATGAGCTTTCCTAGACTTCAGTCTACTTCCTCAGATGCATATTGTAGGGTTTCTTGGTAGCTTTTCTCCAGAGTTGGTTTGCCATTCCTCCAAGGCTGAGAAAGGATGACTTCTCTTAAGGACGATTTCCACAGCTGAGCAGGGATTCGAACCCTGGTCTCCTGCAGTCCTATTCTATGTTACCAATGCAGCTCCCAGCAAACTACAGACCCAAAGGCAAAACTCACAGTAGCCGGCTACCAGGGCTTCCCATGCCAACTCTAACAATTTGTGTGCCACTCTGAAAGCATTTCTAAAGAGCGGGGTATAAATAGAATCAATAATAACCATCCTAGCTTTGACTCAAGGCTCACCTTTCCGCCACCAGCCGTCCCAAATCCAGGCCTTCCCTCTGCTGGTACTCCTGCAGGAGTAGCTCAGCATGGCCACTATCCTTGGAGTAGCCAAGGTAGTCCTCTTCGTCCACTACGCTGATGTAATAGGGCTGGAAAATAGGAATACAGCTGGGCACCACCGACTCTTTGCAAGGCGGATGCTGAGACTTTGCAGGATGAGAGAGACCCGGGGTTTCTTGGAGGCTGAAGTCTTGCAGCTGCATGGCACAGACAATTTCTCCGGGCGCCGACTCCGACGCTCCGCCAGGCCCGTGGCTGAGACTGTGTCCCCCAAAAGCTGCCATTTCCTCGCCTTCTTCTCCCCAGTCATCTGCTCCTTCGAACCAGTCCTTCGCGGCCACTGTGCATTCCTGCTTCTGCAGATACAAGGACGCAGGACAATAGGAGCGGAATACAGAAACCCCAGACATCTTGGTCTGCATCCGCACTGCAGAAATAATCCAGGTTGTTCATTTATTTTTACTTATTTCCATTTTATGCAGCATTTCTCCCAAAACAGGGACCCAAGGGGGCTCACAAAATAAAAACATTTTAGAAACTTTACAGTAAAAAAATTAATAAACAGTTCAATTAATTAATCTAATTAAGGTAATATAAAAGTAACATTAAACATGTAGATATTACATTTATTATTACGATATTACATTATTACTACTACTACTACTACTGCTATTTCCCATTGTATATAATGGGACCTGAGCATCCACGGATTTTGGTATCCACAGAGGGGTCCTGGAACCAAACTCCAGCAGATACCAAGGGCCTATTGTATTTATTATTATTATTACTACTACTACTACTACTACTACTATTTCCCATTGAATATAAGCAAATCCCAGTGGATACCAAGGGCCCGCTATATATTTCGCGGCATACACTCTAGGTTAAATTAAAATAAAACCCCTAAACAGCTCCTCTGCTATCAATGCACACCCCAGCATCCATGCCCCAAACCTAGAGCCCTGTGCGGACCCAAAACCTTGCGCTTTAGGAGGGGAGAATCTTACCTGCGCCTTCACTTTGGAGCCCTGAATGCCTTCTTCTTGCAAATACTGGGATCGCAGCACCGTCCAGCTTCAGAAGCGTTGCAGAGACAACCGGCATGAAAAGAACACAAACAAG